GACCTCCCCTTCCTCTTGAGAATTCTCCTTGTTTTTTCCTTTGTTGGAGCTCCTGTTTACCAGGCCCCACGTGTTTCTGGTTTTTTTTGGTTTACCCTCTTTTCTGCTGGGGTACCACCCTCCAGGAGCTTCCTGAGCATAGGTGAGTTACAATTTTTGAGTTTTTTCATTTCGATATCTTTTCCTGATCCTGCCGTGGCTCTTTTGCTGTGGCTGCTTCTTTTCTTTTCCTTCCTTCCTCTCTCTCTCTCTCTCTCTCTCTCTCTCTCTCTCTCTCTCTCTCTCTCTCTCTCTCCTGTTCATTCATTTAAGGCTTTTATGTGAGACAGTTTCTTCGACCATCTGGAGATACTTGACTATTCATCCACATTTGAGAATGAGATGATAAAAAGTTGAGCAGAGCCTCTGTTGGCATGGGCATGGTTTGTTTACTGTTGGGTTTCACTGTAAAGAGGTAAGTGACCTCCATTCCCCATTAGAGGACCCCAGTGCCAGTAATTGTAGGCCTTTTCTCTTGGACCTGCTGGTTTTCCCCAAAAAGGAAGCTTCCAATTTTCTGCCAGGATCTCAGCTTTCTAGATCTGAGTTTGGGAATGAAGCTGGGGGGATATGCCTCATAATTCAGTATGTACTGCTTCATTTAATTCTGCTTTTCTCTGGAATGAGTCATCCCTGTCCTCAGCTTTGCCCTATGTCCAGAGGAGTTTGACACCAATACCTCTCCAGAAAGTAAACCTCCCGTCTTCTGTTGAGTTAAGGCAGCACGGAGCTGGGTAGGGATTAGGAGGAGGGAAGGATCCCCCTGTTTTTTATAAACTTTCATGATTTCTGGTTTTCAGTTCCACTCTACTGCTGCCTTCAGGGGCATGGCAACTCTAGTTTGAGAGCCTTTCCAGTGTCTGTGATGTGAATAGGTTCACTTGGCTGGCTCTGCCCCCTGCCTAAAGCTTAGGTATTAACTCTCAATTTCTGTCAGTCAGTTATGGCTCATTCCTTCACTTTCCACATACCTAAGTTTTGTTGACATCCTTCTCAGCAGGGATCTCTTTTCCTGTTCACTTTGCCTCTATGGGTTTACACCTTTTCAATGCACTGTCACTTTAATGGGGTATCTGGAGTGAGTGGAGAAAAACGTGTTCAGTGCCCATGTTTAACCACAAGTCTCCTTACCATTAGCTCTTAACATGTATAGATGTTAAGTAGGAAAAGTTCAAGTGTATTATAGGCAATCCCAAAGAATTAGATATAAGTACAATAAAATCCCTATATTTAACTTTTATTGAGTGCTTATATGTGCTAGACAATTTTCTAAAATGTATTATATGTACTACATATTTTATCCTCACAATAAGCCCATGAGATGGGTGCTGTGACTCAATCCCTAGCAGTCTGGCTCCAGAAGCCCGATGCTCTGTAATGTGGTACAGCCTTTTCTAAACTACAGGTGATCTTGTTATTTTCCATTTGCCAGTCTCTAGGCAATCCCTATTTATTGTTAAGTTACACCTGAGGTTTTTCACGTAGATTCTGAACATTTATAGCTCATCATTAGATTTGGCAAAGTTGGCATCGCTTTTTATGTATCTATTTGAGAGTACATGTTGGAGGTAGAGCAGAGTAGTCTATGACAAATCTTAAAGCAGAGTCCTATAAACTGGGAAGTCTGGCGTGTGTTTATTTTATAACACAGACAGATGGCACTTACCGTCTGTAATCTGAGAGGTCGAAAAGGAGGAATTAGAAATCCCACATTAGTAACTTAAAACTAAAAGTGCCTGTTTAAATGAAACATGATATCTGCAAGAGTTTAACATGTGAAATCACTGATGCCCTTGAACTCCCTAATTCAGGGAAAGGGAATTCAACCTAGGTTCTTTGAAGATTTTAGTATCAGGCTCACGATCACTTTCTCTAGGGCTACTCACTACTCCAACANAGTTCCTTGACCAGCCTCTTCAAAGGATGGCGTACCCTCTGCTATCTCAGCTCCCCTGTCATGATCATTCCCTACACTTTGACATTACTGAGAACTAAATTTTAATTTCAAGTCCCCTATTCTCTGACCCAACTCTTATCTTTTCAGGTCATTCTCCACAGCACTAAACTCCAACAGTTCTTTAACCTGATCAGAAATACCAATCTATTTGCTTTACTGTCTTTTCATCATTCCCCAGCCCTCTCACTGGCTTATCTCTGACCACGACTGAAATTTTAATGCCTCCTTTGCTCCTGCCTGCTTTGCCCATCTCCCCCCATCTTACTTGCCTGCCCATATCTCAGTCCTGGCTCATCCAAAACCACCTACTCAGTTCCTGCACATAAGCAACTGAATACGACGGGAGAAAAATGCACAACCCATTGGACTGGTCTGACTATAAATTCATGCCCCACTCACTCAGGTAGACCCCAATTAGTGCCTGGAAACCTTATATGTTTCCCTAGTCAATTCCCTCTCCTCTACTCCTCAACTATTTACTATTCACCTCTTCCTCTCTCCTCCCCATTCCCAAACTCCCTGCCTGCCACCCACCCCTTTACCATCAGTTAATGACTACATGAGCTAGAGTAGGCTAAACTGCTATAACAAATAGGCCCCAAAATGTTATGGCTCTAATGCACTAGAAATTTACAACTTGCTCACACAATAATCCAGACTGGGTCTTCTAGGTCAGTGGGCAGCTCTTCTTCCAGGCACCTTCTTTCTTGTGGCTCTGTCAGCCCCAGCAGCTTGTAGTCAACTGCATAATCCAGCTGGCAGAAAGGAAAAATATATGGAGCAGGCACCCTGGCCTGGCAGTGGCAGATATCATTTCTGCTTATATTCCACTAGTAATAACTTAATTATTGACCATACCTACCTGAAAGAGGCTGAGAAAAGTAGTCCATGGGCCCAGGAGGAAGGGGAGAATAAACTGTAATAGGAAATTTGCAGTCTGCCAAATTGATCTTGCTTCTAATTTCAGTGAGAAAATACAACTAGAAAAGAACTTCTCCTTTGTCCTACTATCACATCCATAAGTTTACTTCAATGTCCCACATACATGGGGACAGGAGGAATTAGATTTCTAGACTAATCACAAAGGGCAGTTTTCAAGCTCTGATCAGAACAATGTGGTCATAATGGCCACACCACCGCATCACAAAATTCAAACATACCTTTTTTTCTGTGTGCTTCTCCACGTTTGTGGTTTTGATATTGTTGGTCACTCATTTCTGCTTCTGCCTTTGCAAATATTCCAGTTTTTCTGCTTTAGTGATTCTACATTACCCTGGTTTCCATCTTTCTTTGCTGCATTCTCTCATCTAGATTAGCTGCCTTCTGTATGTCTTGGCTTCTCTCATCCAGGTCAGAGCCACTCAAACTTTAATGTAATACAGACCATTTGGGGTTCTTGTTAAACTGAAGATGGTGATTCAACAAGTCTGGAGGTGATGGGATTGAGATTCCACTTTCCTAACAAACTCCTGGCAATCCCAAAACCAGGGGGCCATTGACCACACTTTATATTTTACTTTTTTTACTGAGGTAAAGTTTATATACAATATTATATTGGTTTCAAATGTACAACACAGTGGTTCGACAGTTACACACACTACTAAATCCTCACCCCAACCAGTGTAGTTACTATCTCATTGACCACACTTAAAGTAGCAAATTTCTAAAATGTTCTCTAAGATTTCTATCCTTTGTTTTCTTCATTTATCTCACAGTGATATCACTGCTAGGCTGATAACTTCCCCATCTACTTTCTAATTCAATCCTTTTGTCTATATTTCAAAGCCTTTATTTCTAACTTTTTAGTGTCCACTTTTACCTGGCTGTTTTGACAACCTTTCAAACCCTTAAAATAACCAAGTTGCAACTGAGCTCTCAAAGAACAATTCCTAGTCCTCTCTCTGATTCTCACTTGTCTATCTTCTATAATTATCTACAAACTCGAAACTTGCAATCTTTGATTTTGCTCTTCCACTTTCATATATGCTTGCAAGCTATCCCCTCTTGCAATAAAGCCAATTAACCATATGCAAAATTCTTCAGATTCTGCTTCCACATCATTTCTCAACCAAGGTCTTTTAAATTTCTCCTGCTCTACCTCTGGTTCAGACTCATCATTACCTTTCGTCTGGCCTATTGGAGGTCTATCTAGCAGCTTCCCACCTCTAATTTCTGAATCCATTCTCAGATCAAAGAAAACCCCTGTTTTATTCCCCCAAACTTTTAAAACTCAGAGTAGTGAATTAAATACAAATTCTTCCACTTGGCATCCCAGGCCCCATTCCCCTCTCCCACTTCTCAACATGCCCCCAAAGTCTAACCATTTCATTTTTCCTAAACAAAACTTTCACGTATGTTTTCACACTATCCCTTCTTGCTCTAAACCATCTCCTTCAAGGTCAAGCCCAAATGCGACGTCCTCCATGCTGCCTTTCCTTCCTGATTCCCCAGATAGATATGAACAGTTCTTTAAGCTTCTGCGGTACTTTGCATTTTTTTTTGCACAGCACCCGTCATGGTTTGTCTTATATACAATTATATATAATTTTCTCTCTGAAAGCAAGGATAACAACATCAACTCCCCTCTAATCCTGCAGCATCTTACGTATGGGACAGTGTGTGTCTACTGTTAGTTGAATCAAAGTGCTTTAGGGAGATAATTTGATGCAAAGGTAAGCAACGTAAAATTTGAAGTCAGTGCAGCAGGGTTCCAGCTTTGTCATTTATTAGCTGTGAGGCTTTGGGTAAGTCACTTGGCTCGTAAAGTGAGAATCATACTACCTGATGGAGCAACAAGGAAGTTAACATGAAAGTACAGTGGAACTCTACACAAAACCATGTGCGGTATTTTCCTTACAGAGATCTGATGCAGACTTGCTGTTCAAATACTATTTGAGGACCATCCCCACTTCACTGACGAGGTCGAGCCCCGAGCGCCTGGGCACCTGAGCCACGGGGTCCCACAGTCTTTTTCCACTGCAGGGCCCTCTGACTGCTCTCCACGATGCAGGTGAAGCAGCCGAACTGCGAGGGAACTGCCTGGAGCCCCCTCCTCCCGGGGGGCCTCCCTCCTTCCACCCCCCCCCCCCCCCCCCCCCCCCCCCCCCCCCCCCCCCCCCCCCCCCCCCCCCCCCCCCCCCCCCCCCCCCCCCCCCCCCCCCCCCCCCCCCCCCCCCCCCCCCCCCCCCCCCCCCCCCCCCGGGAAAGCCCTTCTCTCCTCCATAACCCCGAGGACCGCGGCGCCGCCGCCTACGTGAGCCGTTTGGACCCTGCCCGGCCCCCGTAGCGCCCCTTCTCCGGCAGGTGGTTCTGGTAGTCTCCCCCGACTCCGGGTGCTCACGTCACCGGCGAACCTCTACCCACGCGCCAGCGCCGCAACCAACCGAGAAAATAAACAAACCCCGCGCGCGGCGGGCACGCCAGGCCCCGCCCCCGCCCCGCCCCGCGGCTCTCACACCGCCCCCTCCTCCGGGGCTTCCCTCCCGCCTTCGGCTCGCAGCCGCGCTCTCCCCGCCCCTCACCGCTGCCGGCAGCCGAGCTCCCCCGCGCTCCGCCCGGCCGGCGCCCCCGGGCCCGTTAGTGTCCGCACCCGCTCTCAGGACTGCCGCGCCACGCCGTCCCCGTGCGAGTCCACCCCCGACACCGGACGCGGCCCAGTCCCAGCGCCCAGTGCGGCCGCCCCCGGAGCCGCGGGAGCGGCGACGGGAGGAGGGAGAGGAGAGCCGAGCTGGCGGCCAGGGAGGCCCGGTGAGTACGCGGAGGGCGGGCCCGCCTCTCTGGGTCCGTTCCGACTCCCCTCAGGCGGCGGCGGCGGCGGCTCGGCCCACTGCTGCCTGCTCCTCGGGCTCGGCGGCTGGGGACTCGGCCTGAGGCGACGGGCCCCGCGGGCCGGAGCCACTGGGCAGAGGGCGCGGGAGGGCCGCTCCGCGGGAAGGGCCGCGGCTCCGACTCTCGGCGCACGGCTCTCGGGCCGCGGGGGGAGACCTGCGCCGACCCCAGGCCCCGGCGCCCTGGCCGTGGCTGTGCCCCGAAGACTCCTCCAGGGCCGGGGACTCCCGTGGTCGCGGGGCCGCCGAGTGACAGGTGCCGCCGGCCCATCCCCTTCGCGGGCATCGCTCTCCCTCCGGGGCAACCGGGCGCTAGGAAATTTCTGGAGCGAAAACCTGACCCGCTGTTTTCTCCCTTTCAGGTTTGGAAGCCCTTCTCTGCCCGAGTTAGTTCTCTCCCGGCTCTATTTCTTTCTCTACATACTTTGCGCGAATAAGTTTTGGAGCATCGGTTAACAGCCTGTGGGTGAAATTTGGTTTTCATTCTTGAGTGAGGTATAGTGAATTACTTTTTGACTAAAGTGCTCCTCCTGCTCCTCCTCCTCCTCCTCGCTAGCTATTGGAAAGTAAATGGGAAAGGTTCTGAATTTTGTTTTTGCTGTTATTGTTGGGAACGAGCGGTCTTTAAGGATTTTTGTTAGATCTCTAGCATTTAGAATACTTACTAGATTTTGGACACTGATGACAAAACTGGCTTGTTAAATTCCTTTTCTCTCCAGCTTCTTTTAGATTTTTCATTATCTTAGCCAGATTTTATAACTGAGTAGGTGCGACGGCTTTCCTTTTATTTCACTAATGAAAGATTACCTTTTAATGAAAAGCCAGTGGAAAATTTTCTACACTATTTCAGTATTGTCTGTTTCTTTATGTAGTAAATGTACTTGTGATTGGAACCTGAATTATCAGTTTAATAAGTCTGACTTGCAACTATGAGAATTTTAGAGTCATTTTGTGGCAGATTAAAATATTAAAAATATTTAATCTATGGAAATACAGATTTTTTCCTCAACAGATTAGTCTATAGTTGGTATTGGTAAAATCCTAATTAATGGCAGATACTCTTAATTGTCATAAATCATTACAACAAATTTATCTGAAAAATACCAATCTAGTGGCTTCGCTCTGAATTAAGAGCAAGAACCCAGAAGCTGACCAAAAGAACAAGGGGGGAAATGAAAACACATGGGCTTTTTTCATGGGAGAATCCCTGAGGTTCTCACTCAATTCTGTACTTTCGCTTAGATTTTTCAGCCCTCGGAAATTTGGTGCTGCAGATTGGATTGGGGAGGCAATTCTCAACTGCAAAGAAAAATGGAATTTAAGGCATACCAAATTAAGTTTATGTGGTTTGTTCGCTGTAAGTGTGCTGGGAGTAGAATTTTGGTATGCACTTGGCACTTGTTGGTTGTGAAACTTAATTTTAAGAAGCCTAGGTAAAAGAGATTTAGTTGTGTTATTTGAGGAACAGAACGTGAAATAATGCATTTAAAATTTTTCACTGGGTACCAAATCACTGATAATGCCATTTCATTTTATGCTCAGTTTTTAAAAATCTAAGTTATATTTCAAGAAGGCCACATTAATTGGCATCTCCATTGTATTTTTTGGTGATGTTGTTCAGGCTAATTGGTTGGTAGCATTTTTGGAAGATGACTGTCATTCGTTTTTTTAAAAGGGACATATTGATTGTTCTTTACTGAGCATTTTATACGTATATCAATTTCAAAGTGTCCTAATTGTGGGTCCCTGAAGCATGGCTGTTGATGCCATCTTTCCTTGCCCTAGAGAGGTCGTAGTCTGGAGGGATGGGGTCACAGTAGCACTCATCCTCAGAACCAGGGTAGAGGAGCCCAAGACTACCAGCCATTTAGAAGTCTGTTACTTACAGTTCAGATTGTTCATTTTAGAAATAGTTTAAACATCTGATGTATCCTAATTCTTTTTAACCAGCACTTTAAAACCGATTATGTTTCCTATATAAATGTTTCCGAAACAGAATTACTTGTGGTGACGACCAGTTTTTAGAAGGGCACTTATAATGAAGCACAGTTGAACTGCCAATAACTGTTAACTCACATTTGCATTATGGGAATTGGGGGTTACTTGTTGTGCACTTTGCATTTTCTTCTGCTGTCTGTTCTATTTTAGATCACGTTTCAATTCAGAGATAGCTGTGTAGTTGGGGAGTGTAAGTATTTTTTAAAAAGCTAAATTCGATATATCTGTTGTATGCAAGGTCTTGTGGTTTTGTTAAGGATAGAAAGAAGAGACCCTTGCCTTTCAGGATGTTGAAATCAGCATTGTAGGGGACTAGGCACAAAAATAAATGGATAATTTTAATGAAATCAATTCAGTAATAAAAGCAAATATAAAGTATAGAAATTTTACAGAGGAGGAAGTGATTAATTCCAGGGGTAGGGCAGAGAAAGCTTCATGGAGATGCTAGCACCTAAGCAGGATTTTGAGGAATGAACACAAGTTTTAAGTGGAAGAGATACCATTTTAGGCACAGGGAAAGCAAAAGATTTGAACAAGTAAAACTAAATGTGTTCAGGAAATTTTAAGTAGTTTTGCTAGAGTATAGAATCTGAGGAAGGACAGTTGAAAAAAAAAAACCAAAACCCTAACGTATGCTACAACATTTAGTAACTCAAATAATGGGCTTTTCAAGTACTGGGTATGTATTAAAATGGAGACTTCACTGTAATTTGACATTGCTGTGATCTCAAGTATAGGAGAATAGTTTTTACTAATGACAGTCATTAAGAAATTATAGAATATTATACTTCTATAAATTATAGAATATTACATTTACATTAAAAAAAACACAAGTGTATTTCTAAACTTACTTGTGTTTTTCTGCATTTTGACCTGAAACATTTGTTTTGATATAATCTTCTGAATTTTCTTTTGTCTTCCTTCAACTACTTAATTTAGCCTTTATTTTTATTTACTTATTTACTTATTTTTAATTGAGGTAAAATTAGTATATAACATTTTAGTTTGAGGTGTACAACTTAATAATTTGATATTTGTATACACTACAAAATGATCATAAGTCTATAGTTACCATCTGTCACCAAACAGTTGACCACCTTCATCCTTTTCACACACCCTCCAACACCCTCTGATAACCACCTGTTGTCTGTATCTATGAGGGTTTTTTTGTTCATTTTTTTTATTAAGGTATCTTATGAAGGTTTCACATGAGCAACATTGCAGTCACTGTCCATCAGTGTAGTAGGATGCTATAGAGTCACTACTAGTCTTCTCTGTGCTATGCAGCCTTCCCCATGACCCCCCCTACATTATGTGTGCTAATCATAATGCCCCTTAATCTCCTTCTTCCTCCCTCCCCACCTACCCTCCCCTACCCCTCCTCTTTGGTAACCACTAGTCCCTTCTTGGAGTCTGTGAGTCTGCTGCTGTTTTGTTCCTTCAGTTTTGCTTTGTTGTTACACTCCACAAATGAGTGAAATCGTTTGCTACTTGTTTTTCTCTGCCTTGCTCATTTCACTGAGCATGATGTCCTCTGGCTCCATCCATGTTATTGCAAATGGTAGGATTTGTTTTTTTCTTATGGTTGAATAATATTGTGTATATGTGCCACATCTTTATCCATTCATCTACTGATGGACACTTAGGTTGCTTCCATATCTTGGCTATTGTAAATAGTGCAGCAGTAAACATAGGGGTGCATATGTCTTTTTGAATCTGGGACCTTTTTTCCTTCACGTAAATTCCTAGGAGTGTAATGTTAAATGGTATCTCTGTTTCTAGTTTTTTGAGGAACCTCCATATTGCTTTCTACAATGGTTGAAGTAATTTACATTCCCACCAACAGTGTAGGAGGGTTCCCCTTTCCCCGCATCCTCACCAGCATTTGTTGTTCCTTGTTTTTGGATGTTGGCCATCCTAAAGAGTGTGAAGTGATATCTCATTGCGGTTTTAATGTGCATTTCCCTGATGATTACCCATGTGGAGCATCTTTTCATGTGCCTGTTGGCCATCTGAATTTCTTCTTTGGAGAAGTGTGTGTTCAGATCCTCTGCTCATTTTTTAATTGAGTTTTTTGCTTTTTTGGGTGTTGAGACACATGAGTTCTTTATATATTTTGGATGTTAACCCCTTATCGGATAAGTTGTTCATGAATATATTCTCCCATACTAAAGGCTGCCTTTTTGTTCTACTGATGCTGTCCTTTGCTTTACAGAAGCTTTCTAGTTGGATGTAGTCCCATTTGTTCATTTTTGCTTTTGTTTACCTTGCCCGAGGAGATGCGTTTAGGAAACAGTTGCTCATGTTTATATACAAGAGATTTTTGCCTCTGTTTTTTTCTGTGAGTTTTATGGTTTGATGACTTACATTCAGGTCTTTGATCCATTTTGAGCTTACTTTTGTGTATGGAGTTAGACATACATTCTCTTACATGTAGCTGTCCAGTTTTGCCAACACCAGCTGTTGAAGAGGCTGTTGTTTCCCCATTGTATATCCATGGCACCTTTATCATATAATAATTGACCATATATGCTTGGGTTTATATCTGGACTCTCTATTCTGTTCCATTGATCTATGGGTCTGTTCTTGTGCCTGTACCAAATTGTCTCAATTACTGTGGCTTCGTAGTAGAGCTTGAAGTCAGAGAGCATAATCCCCCAGGTTTATTCTTCCTTCTCAGGATTGCTTTGGCTATTTGGGATCTTTTCTGATTCCATATGAGTTTTAGAACTATTTGTTCTAGTTCATTGAAGAATGCTTTTGGTATTTTGATAAGGATTGCGTTGAATCTGTAGAGTAGAATGGCCATTTTGACAGTATTATTTCTTCCTATCCGTGAGCATGGGATATGTTTCCATTTATTGGTGTCTTCTTTAATTTCTCTCATGAGTGTCTTGTAGTTTTCAGAGTATAGTCTGTCACCTTCTTGGTTAGGTTTATTCCTAGGTATTTCATTCTTACAACCAACCGAGAAAATAAACAAACCCCGCGCGCGGCGGGCACGCCAGGCCCCGCCCCCGCCCCGCCCCGCGGCTCTCACACCGCCCCCTCCTCCGGGGCTTCCCTCCCGCCTTCGGCTCGCAGCCGCGCTCTCCCCGCCCCTCACCGCTGCCGGCAGCCGAGCTCCCCCGCGCTCCGCCCGGCCGGCGCCCCCGGGCCCGTTAGTGTCCGCACCCGCTCTCAGGACTGCCGCGCCACGCCGTCCCCGTGCGAGTCCACCCCCGACACCGGACGCGGCCCAGTCCCAGCGCCCAGTGCGGCCGCCCCCGGAGCCGCGGGAGCGGCGACGGGAGGAGGGAGAGGAGAGCCGAGCTGGCGGCCAGGGAGGCCCGGTGAGTACGCGGAGGGCGGGCCCGCCTCTCTGGGTCCGTTCCGACTCCCCTCAGGCGGCGGCGGCGGCGGCTCGGCCCACTGCTGCCTGCTCCTCGGGCTCGGCGGCTGGGGACTCGGCCTGAGGCGACGGGCCCCGCGGGCCGGAGCCACTGGGCAGAGGGCGCGGGAGGGCCGCTCCGCGGGAAGGGCCGCGGCTCCGACTCTCGGCGCACGGCTCTCGGGCCGCGGGGGGAGACCTGCGCCGACCCCAGGCCCCGGCGCCCTGGCCGTGGCTGTGCCCCGAAGACTCCTCCAGGGCCGGGGACTCCCGTGGTCGCGGGGCCGCCGAGTGACAGGTGCCGCCGGCCCATCCCCTTCGCGGGCATCGCTCTCCCTCCGGGGCAACCGGGCGCTAGGAAATTTCTGGAGCGAAAACCTGACCCGCTGTTTTCTCCCTTTCAGGTTTGGAAGCCCTTCTCTGCCCGAGTTAGTTCTCTCCCGGCTCTATTTCTTTCTCTACATACTTTGCGCGAATAAGTTTTGGAGCATCGGTTAACAGCCTGTGGGTGAAATTTGGTTTTCATTCTTGAGTGAGGTATAGTGAATTACTTTTTGACTAAAGTGCTCCTCCTGCTCCTCCTCCTCCTCCTCGCTAGCTATTGGAAAGTAAATGGGAAAGGTTCTGAATTTTGTTTTTGCTGTTATTGTTGGGAACGAGCGGTCTTTAAGGATTTTTGTTAGATCTCTAGCATTTAGAATACTTACTAGATTTTGGACACTGATGACAAAACTGGCTTGTTAAATTCCTTTTCTCTCCAGCTTCTTTTAGATTTTTCATTATCTTAGCCAGATTTTATAACTGAGTAGGTGCGACGGCTTTCCTTTTATTTCACTAATGAAAGATTACCTTTTAATGAAAAGCCAGTGGAAAATTTTCTACACTATTTCAGTATTGTCTGTTTCTTTATGTAGTAAATGTACTTGTGATTGGAACCTGAATTATCAGTTTAATAAGTCTGACTTGCAACTATGAGAATTTTAGAGTCATTTTGTGGCAGATTAAAATATTAAAAATATTTAATCTATGGAAATACAGATTTTTTCCTCAACAGATTAGTCTATAGTTGGTATTGGTAAAATCCTAATTAATGGCAGATACTCTTAATTGTCATAAATCATTACAACAAATTTATCTGAAAAATACCAATCTAGTGGCTTCGCTCTGAATTAAGAGCAAGAACCCAGAAGCTGACCAAAAGAACAAGGGGGGAAATGAAAACACATGGGCTTTTTTCATGGGAGAATCCCTGAGGTTCTCACTCAATTCTGTACTTTCGCTTAGATTTTTCAGCCCTCGGAAATTTGGTGCTGCAGATTGGATTGGGGAGGCAATTCTCAACTGCAAAGAAAAATGGAATTTAAGGCATACCAAATTAAGTTTATGTGGTTTGTTCGCTGTAAGTGTGCTGGGAGTAGAATTTTGGTATGCACTTGGCACTTGTTGGTTGTGAAACTTAATTTTAAGAAGCCTAGGTAAAAGAGATTTAGTTGTGTTATTTGAGGAACAGAACGTGAAATAATGCATTTAAAATTTTTCACTGGGTACCAAATCACTGATAATGCCATTTCATTTTATGCTCAGTTTTTAAAAATCTAAGTTATATTTCAAGAAGGCCACATTAATTGGCATCTCCATTGTATTTTTTGGTGATGTTGTTCAGGCTAATTGGTTGGTAGCATTTTTGGAAGATGACTGTCATTCGTTTTTTTAAAAGGGACATATTGATTGTTCTTTACTGAGCATTTTATACGTATATCAATTTCAAAGTGTCCTAATTGTGGGTCCCTGAAGCATGGCTGTTGATGCCATCTTTCCTTGCCCTAGAGAGGTCGTAGTCTGGAGGGATGGGGTCACAGTAGCACTCATCCTCAGAACCAGGGTAGAGGAGCCCAAGACTACCAGCCATTTAGAAGTCTGTTACTTACAGTTCAGATTGTTCATTTTAGAAATAGTTTAAACATCTGATGTATCCTAATTCTTTTTAACCAGCACTTTAAAACCGATTATGTTTCCTATATAAATGTTTCCGAAACAGAATTACTTGTGGTGACGACCAGTTTTTAGAAGGGCACTTATAATGAAGCACAGTTGAACTGCCAATAACTGTTAACTCACATTTGCATTATGGGAATTGGGGGTTACTTGTTGTGCACTTTGCATTTTCTTCTGCTGTCTGTTCTATTTTAGATCACGTTTCAATTCAGAGATAGCTGTGTAGTTGGGGAGTGTAAGTATTTTTTAAAAAGCTAAATTCGATATATCTGTTGTATGCAAGGTCTTGTGGTTTTGTTAAGGATAGAAAGAAGAGACCCTTGCCTTTCAGGATGTTGAAATCAGCATTGTAGGGGACTAGGCACAAAAATAAATGGATAATTTTAATGAAATCAATTCAGTAATAAAAGCAAATATAAAGTATAGAAATTTTACAGAGGAGGAAGTGATTAATTCCAGGGGTAGGGCAGAGAAAGCTTCATGGAGATGCTAGCACCTAAGCAGGATTTTGAGGAATGAACACAAGTTTTAAGTGGAAGAGATACCATTTTAGGCACAGGGAAAGCAAAAGATTTGAACAAGTAAAACTAAATGTGTTCAGGAAATTTTAAGTAGTTTTGCTAGAGTATAGAATCTGAGGAAGGACAGTTGAAAAAAAAAAACCAAAACCCTAACGTATGCTACAACATTTAGTAACTCAAATAATGGGCTTTTCAAGTACTGGGTATGTATTAAAATGGAGACTTCACTGTAATTTGACATTGCTGTGATCTCAAGTATAGGAGAATAGTTTTTACTAATGACAGTCATTAAGAAATTATAGAATATTATACTTCTATAAATTATAGAATATTACATTTACATTAAAAAAAACACAAGTGTATTTCTAAACTTACTTGTGTTTTTCTGCATTTTGACCTGAAACATTTGTTTTGATATAATCTTCTGAATTTTCTTTTGTCTTCCTTCAACTACTTAATTTAGCCTTTATTTTTATTTACTTATTTACTTATTTTTAATTGAGGTAAAATTAGTATATAACATTTTAGTTTGAGGTGTACAACTTAATAATTTGATATTTGTATACACTACAAAATGATCATAAGTCTATAGTTACCATCTGTCACCAAACAGTTGACCACCTTCATCCTTTTCACACACCCTCCAACACCCTCTGATAACCACCTGTTGTCTGTATCTATGAGGGTTTTTTTGTTCATTTTTTTTATTAAGGTATCTTATGAAGGTTTCACATGAGCAACATTGCAGTCACTGTCCATCAGTGTAGTAGGATGCTATAGAGTCACTACTAGTCTTCTCTGTGCTATGCAGCCTTCCCCATGACCCCCCCTACATTATGTGTGCTAATCATAATGCCCCTTAATCTCCTTCTTCCTCCCTCCCCACCTACCCTCCCCTACCCCTCCTCTTTGGTAACCACTAGTCCCTTCTTGGAGTCTGTGAGTCTGCTGCTGTTTTGTTCCTTCAGTTTTGCTTTGTTGTTACACTCCACAAATGAGTGAAATCGTTTGCTACTTGTTTTTCTCTGCCTTGCTCATTTCACTGAGCATGATGTCCTCTGGCTCCATCCATGTTATTGCAAATGGTAGGATTTGTTTTTTTCTTATGGTTGAATAATATTGTGTATATGTGCCACATCTTTATCCATTCATCTACTGATGGACACTTAGGTTGCTTCCATATCTTGGCTATTGTAAATAGTGCAGCAGTAAACATAGGGGTGCATATGTCTTTTTGAATCTGGGACCTTTTTTCCTTCACGTAAATTCCTAGGAGTGTAATGTTAAATGGTATCTCTGTTTCTAGTTTTTTGAGGAACCTCCATATTGCTTTCTACAATGGTTGAAGTAATTTACATTCCCACCAACAGTGTAGGAGGGTTCCCCTTTCCCCGCATCCTCACCAGCATTTGTTGTTCCTTGTTTTTGGATGTTGGCCATCCTAAAGAGTGTGAAGTGATATCTCATTGCGGTTTTAATGTGCATTTCCCTGATGATTACCCATGTGGAGCATCTTTTCATGTGCCTGTTGGCCATCTGAATTTCTTCTTTGGAGAAGTGTGTGTTCAGATCCTCTGCTCATTTTTTAATTGAGTTTTTTGCTTTTTTGGGTGTTGAGACACATGAGTTCTTTATATATTTTGGATGTTAACCCCTTATCGGATAAGTTGTTCATGAATATATTCTCCCATACTAAAGGCTGCCTTTTTGTTCTACTGATGCTGTCCTTTGCTTTACAGAAGCTTTCTAGTTGGATGTAGTCCCATTTGTTCATTTTTGCTTTTGTTTACCTTGCCCGAGGAGATGCGTTTAGGAAACAGTTGCTCATGTTTATATACAAGAGATTTTTGCCTCTGTTTTTTTCTGTGAGTTTTATGGTTTGATGACTTACATTCAGGTCTTTGATCCATTTTGAGCTTACTTTTGTGTATGGAGTTAGACATACATTCTCTTACATGTAGCTGTCCAGTTTTGCCAACACCAGCTGTTGAAGAGGCTGTTGTTTCCCCATTGTATATCCATGGCACCTTTATCATATAATAATTGACCATATATGCTTGGGTTTATATCTGGACTCTCTATTCTGTTCCATTGATCTATGGGTCTGTTCTTGTGCCTGTACCAAATTGTCTCAATTACTGTGGCTTCGTAGTAGAGCTTGAAGTCAGAGAGCATAATCCCCCAGGTTTATTCTTCCTTCTCAGGATTGCTTTGGCTATTTGGGATCTTTTCTGATTCCATATGAGTTTTAGAACTATTTGTTCTAGTTCATTGAAGAATGCTTTTGGTATTTTGATAAGGATTGCGTTGAATCTGTAGAGTAGAATGGCCATTTTGACAGTATTATTTCTTCCTATCCGTGAGCATGGGATATGTTTCCATTTATTGGTGTCTTCTTTAATTTCTCTCATGAGTGTCTTGTAGTTTTCAGAGTATAGTCTGTCACCTTCTTGGTTAGGTTTATTCCTAGGTATTTCATTCTTTTTGATGCAATTGTAAATGGGAGTTGTTTTCCTGATTTCTCTTTCTGCTAGTTCATTGTTAATATATAGGAATGCAACAGACATTCTGTTGTATTGATTTTGTATCCTGCAACTTTGCTGAGTTTAGATATTAGTTTTAGTAGTTTTGGGGTGGATTCCTTAGGGTTTTTTATGTACAATAATATCATGTCATCTGCAAACAGTAACAGTTTAACTTCTTCCCTACCAATCTGGATGTCTTTTATTTCTTTGTGTTGTCTGATTGCTGTGGCTAGGACCTCCAGTACTATGTTGGATAAAAGTAGGAGACTGGGCATCCTTATCTTCTTCCTGATCTTAGAGGAAAAGTTTCCAGCTACTCACTGTTAAGTATGATATTGGCTGTGGGTTTGTCTTATATGGCATTTATCATGTTGAGGTACTTTGGTACTTTCCCCCTATACCTATTTTGTTCAGAGTTTTTATCAGGAATGGATGTTGAATTTTGTCAAATGCTTTTTCAGCATCTGTGGAGATGATCATGTGATATTTTTCCTTC